GAGATGCACCTGTGGATGCACAACAAGGTCCGGTTAGCCCTGCCAACCATGACCTCGCATTGTCGGCCCATGTTCATCTTGGAGTCAATAATGACTCCAAGATCCCTTTCTGCCTCCGTGCTCTCAAGAAGGGAGTTTCCCATCTTATAAGTGTGCTGCTGGTTTTGAGGGTTATTACAGATTTTTCCACAACTTTAAGGTACAAACTTGCCTCCCATTAGCACAAAAAGAAAAAAGTGATGGAATAAATGCCGTACAGCAGATGTCTCCAGTACCTGATCCTGAATTCTTTCCAGCTGTCCAAGAAAAACACCTCTTCCCCAAAAAGTCAACATTAGCATGAAAAGGAAAAAGAGAACAGACAAGATATTAACTGCCCCCCCAGCCACCATATTTTCTCTTCAATCTAAATATTTCTAAGTACAGAACCAACTGACAAACATTTCTTCAGCTGTACTTTTCTTACCTTAATGTGAGATGCATTGATGTAACCTGTGTTATTTTCTTTGGTTGGGACCAGCTCCACTCTGGTATCATCATAGGGAAGGACATCCTGGAACCTGTTTCTCTCAGCATTTTCAGGGAGCCGGGCTATTGAACACTCACCATCAATGAGTCTTTTCTTTTGAATCCGCTCATATTCTGTAAACACCATCCCCTGCTCTAACCGTTGTTCAAGAATTTTACACTACAAGACAGAAGAAGAAAGCACACAAAGTTTCAGCCCAATTCAGTTTTACTAGTAACAATGCAATGAAAATAATTTAATATAAATAAAATGCACAGATTTTTCTCACTTCTAATTTTTGTAATTACTTCCCAGATATCCCTGTTTGTATAGCACATCACAGTAAACCTGGAGTGGCAAATTCTGAAGTCCTTAACCAGGCAAATCTTTAAGGCAGTGGGAGTTCTGCTGAAGTGGGAGCTGACTCAGAACTTCAAGATATGGCAGTTAGACACAGAGATGGTAAATAACATTCAAAAATGATTTTTTAATTTCTGTAGAGATAACACAGTCAGACATGAGACCAGTTTTGCTAGACAAGGTAATTACGGCATTTCCCCAGATTTGGATTAAGATGTTTAGAAACTTTTCTGCTTGGTTTAGCAGGTTGGACTGGGTATTTTGACTTGATGGAAGTACAATTTATTTTTTCAAAACCAAATACTTTCTAAATCATGAGACACTTCTGGTATTTCTGTTTGGCAAAAATAATTACATGAATAAGTCGGAGATTTAAGCCAATGAACTACTTCTGTTGTCACAAGCAGCCAGACTCATGTTAACATCTGAATGTCCATGTAGCTATCAGACAAGTCAGGAATTTTGTTGTAAACAGATGCCATTACCACATGCTACAGAAAAAAGCACTAAATCTCTACTGACAATGTCTATACTAAAACACTCTAGAGCAGCAGCCTCTTCCACTTTTTTTTTTTGGCCAAGATTTCTAGCACAGAATGGACAAGAAAGGGCACAGTATCACAAAGCTGAGCATGAAAGACTTTGAACAAACATAAAGTAAACTTGATATTCTAAGAACCTTTGAAATCCTGTGAAACTGGACCTTCTTTCTTCTTTCTATTACATGTGCCTGAACTATTTTGTCTATCTCCTATTTACACTGCAATCTTCTTCAGCCAGGAACTTTCAATTTATAAAGCATCAAGCACAAGTACACTCAGTGCTAGAAGAGTGGCAACATTTTTAAAGCTTTAAGTATTTACCTCATCAACAGCTCCATTCTTTGAGGGCAGCATTAGACAACTGCTCCCTTATCCTGATGGATCTTTTGCACAGTCCTATTCTATTTAACATGTATTTCAGATGAGGCTGCTTGGCAAGGAAATGAGGTGATGTGCACACAGAGGACACACATCTCTGAAATCTTTGAAGGGTTCAGTGAAGATTCTCTGTTTTCCCAGCTGTTTGGTTCCAACTTCAAAAAACTATAAATATTATATACTGCCCACTTGCCCAAGGACTGGGGCTAAGGCAAATTACACAAATCTAAGGAAAAAAAGGAGTTATAAACTTGTATACAACTCCTATCCTTAGTCTTCTTAGGCATTTTTACCAAGAGACTGTCAGGAATTACAAGTCTCATTCACCAATTACCTTCTACATCTGACTCAATTTGAAACTAAGATGTTCTAGCAGTTAGCCTTTGCTAATGCATTTCATTTTTAAGATTCTAATCCTAAGGAGAAAGCAAGTATTCCAGAAAATTGAGACATACCCTTTCATCATTTGTTGCTCTAGTAGACTCTTCCTTGCCCTCATCTGGCAGAGGCATTCGAGACAAGGTTAGTCCATTTAGGGCAGCTAGCTTTAGAGGCCCTATTTTTTTTGCATCGGTTTTGTTTTTTTTCATTCCCTGCCAGAAAAAAAATAAAGTTATACCCTATAGAAAACACTGGACAAATAACAAAGCAGACTTAGGAGGGGTTCAGCTTTTGGAAACAGAGGACTACCCTTGTTATTATCTTTGAAAGCCAGTGTGGTAAAAGATTCTGGTGGTAGAACCACATTCTTTCACAGGACCCGACACCAGTCTGTCTTCATTCCAGACAAGTTACTGAAACTTCACAAGAATGGGAAATATTGTTCTCTACAGGTTAGGTCCTAGGGCAAGGAGCATTTTGGAGAGACTGACATTCTTAAACAGAATTAGAATCTCCAACAGTTCAGAATAAAACACAAAAATACCACATATAGAATCAGTTTCATCTATATTAGACAACATTGTTTGTGGACCCAATTTTCAGAAATGAACCCAATTTTGTAGGTGTATTTTACAGTATCTAGGTGTGTCTAAGCATTTCACTGAACCTACAAATCAGGTATTTAAGGTATCACAGTAGTATAAAAAGTGTGCCTTCAACGAATTGCAGACACTAAATCATGGGCACAGAATTAGAGGCCGAAATGAAGTGCCTTGGAAATCATTCTTTACAGCAGCACCTAAAATGTGCTAGGCACTGTACAAACACACAGAAAGACAAAGTCCCTGCCCTAAGGACTTGAAAAATATACCAAAGAAGTAAGGCCAGAGAGGATCATGAATGACTTCGCACAGTTGTGCACAAACATATAAAATTCTGTAAAGCAGGAGTTGTGGGAGAGATGGGTAGCCTGCTTGACCAGGAGAAATTGAATTTGTAAGACACAGAATGGTTAGAAGGCTAGACAAAAAGGGAGAGGGAACCTGAGGAAGAAAGAAAAGAAAAAATGGAGGAAGTGAATAGAAAGAAGGGTGAGGGAAAAGGACATGGGAAAGAATGAGGGAAAAGGAGATGGTACATCTAGTGCTTCATGACATTATGTTAAGTGGGAGAGGGAGAAGAGTCTAGAAAATACACGTGACCACTCAAGTCCTGTGGTTAAACTCAGAGAATGGGTCTAATGATGTCAGAAAGCTGCTAGTGGAGAGGAGGAAACTACTCCTGTTCCAGCCGGAAGGGGCATCAGAAGCTAGTTCCTCATGGATCTGAGATCGATCCAATAGGAATTGGGAGGACCAGCTGAACGGGTGAAACAGTGACAGAAAATAGAGGGGAAAAGAGGTACATAAGGGAAGAAAGGAGAGAAAACAAGAAAATAAAAATGTGGGGTGGACATTTGTTGGTACATTTCAAAAATCTTAAGAGGTGTATTTTTAAAACTCATCAGACAAGTTCTATCTACCAGCATGAGCCCTGGAAAAAAACAAAACAAAACAAAACAAAAAGAAATATCTACTTACACCTAAAGGTGGAAGACCTTCCACAATATTCTTCTTCCCAGACAGAAGATCAGACACAGGTCTCTTCTTCACAGAGTCCTTTCTAACTCTGTACCTTCCTGAAGTTGTAAGGTCAGATTCTGACATAGATGGAGTCAGCAAACCTTCACCTCTTCTCTGCACCTGTGACTCAGCTAGTAAATGCACCGGGCTCATATCTTTCATCCTCTTTTCTGGCTCTGTAATATGTAACTTAGGTTCAAGGATATGCAAAGGGCCAGCAGGTGAAGCAACAGAACTGTATGGATAACTTAAAAGAGACTCAGAAGGATGACCACCCATGATACCAGAAAGCTGGGGTTGGCCTTCAGGGAGAGGAGACAAACTTGTATGAGCTTTTTCTTCTTCAAATTCCTCCTCCTCCTCACTGCTGTGAATCAGCATAGTTGCATCTGAAAGAGACTTTTTATGACCACAGTTCATGCCTTCTTCTTGCTCCTCATTTTCTTCTTGCTTTGTCTTTTCCATTAGAACACTGGGCTGTGACCCTCTTGGAAGGGCCACATCTGCTGCTGATGCTGACATGGTTCTCTCCTTAATTCTGACTCCTTCAAAGCTGTGGACCAGCCCTGCTATTTCAATACTATTTCTTTTCTGTAACTGAGCATGGCGCGCTGATGTTAAGGGTTCACTCACTTCCTGAAGAGAATGTGCAACAGGCAGACTGTCTTCCTGAAATGTCTGGACAGAATGGTGGACTCGTCTTGTGATGAGATCTGGATTGCTGCTGCTTATATAAAGGTGTCGGGAAAGGTCTGGAGTACTGTTTGCAGGTCTTGGGTAGGGGTAAGGAGGAGGTGGTCGATAGACCTGAGTCTTCATGATATTTGGTGCTGGATAATCCTGAGCCTGAAGCTGCACATTTGTCAACTCCGGCACACTGACTGCTCCAACAACTGGACGCTTTTCAGCAGGATAAGGGTATGGAGACTGGCTATGAAAACTGTAATTCAGGTTAAACGGATAGTGATTAGATTGAGGGGAAGTGAAGTGAGCATGTTCTCGGATTTCAGGTTGGCTGTAAACCAGGGCATCAGGTCTACTGTAAGCATATGAATTGCTGATGTTAAGATTTCTCATTGAATGACTCTGCTTATCCGTGTGTATCATTCCCCTGTTAAGCTGTCTCATCACAGTTTCATAATCTGGGGTAGGCCGATAAGAAGGTGGTATTAGTGCACTATGTCGATGCGATGGGACATAATCAGGTCTCAGGATATCACTTCCAGTAATGCTTGGGTTAGAGGACATGGGAGATGGCTGCAAGTAGTGCTGTGGGTTATTCAAAGAGTTTGTGCTGTGTGCACTGTAGACACTACCATTGCGGATTCTACCATTGTAGTCATGTGGAGCTCTATCCAAGCTAGTCTGAGAGTGGTAGTAGTATCCATTCTGATTGTTCACAAAGAGGTTATCTGAAAAGAAAGGGTTTAAACAAACACTACCGTTAGGTCCGAACATAAAGAAGCAACTTCTATTAGACATTTTGAAAATACCAATATCTGATTCAAGAACTTTCTCCCACCATGACATGGGTTTAAAAATACAGCCATATCTCCATGTTGACCACTGTTTGGCTTGCAGCAAGGGAAGTTTTAGTGCTACAAATCTTTTAATACACTGCACTACACAGCTGCTACCTATTGATAATATTTCTGTTTTACTTACTAGATCTGCCTTTGGCATGTCAAATGGATACTACAATACTGTACTGTACTGATTTCTAATATAGCATGGGGAAGACTTGTGTATGGCACTGCCTCCTCTCCCTAGTCACTCATGTGAACTGATTAATAATGATTGCTCAGGGGAGACTTTCCCTCAACTGTTATAAGTCTCACAAAGCCTTACAGCAATTGCATCCACTGAGAATCAGGAGGATTACAAGAACTACTGGGCCACATCTGGGAAAAAATGGAAGAGACTGTAAGCCTGCTTCTGATCATCTTTCTTTAGATTTTATTTACCCCAGGGATATAAATACTCTCGATACATACCCATGTGAGGCTTGGTCTTTGTGGGCTATTGCTTTAGCACAGAGGTGGGCAAAATGTGGCCTGCGGGCCAGATGCAACCCACCAGCCCATTCTATCCAGCCCGCGGGCCCCTCAAAAATTTAGAAAATTAATATTTATCTGCTCCTGGCTGCCTGCCATGCGGCCCTTGATGGCTTGCCAAAACTCAGTAAGTGGCCCTCCACCCAAAATAATTGCCTACCCCTGCTAAGGTGACAATTTAAACCAGTGCAAATTTCCACGTGGATACATTATATTAAGGATAGCTTTTTCACTTTCACTTGGGTTGACAAACAGATTTTAATTAAGCAATATAAACCAAAGTTAAGCCACTCTTAAACTGAAATAAACCAGTACAAACCTTGTGTTTAATTATTCAGGAAGCCACAACTAAACCAGTTCAACTTTACCATACAGACAAGCATAAGTGGCAGCAAAATCAGGCTCACTATCTATAAACAGATATCAGTGAAACCTGCAATAAGTGACCGTACTGACAGCCAAGAGAACAACTTCTTAAAAAAAAAAAAATCAAACTAAAGTTTTCAGGAAAATCTGGGACTATTTTAAAGTATAACCAGTTATTGCTGATGTGTGTTTTACCTATCACTGGTTTCACTGTACGTAGCAAAGTACGTTATCTATTGTTTTATGTATTCAACATATATGAAACAATGGATTCCAAACCTTTTGCTCCATTTTGTAGGAGTCACCACTTCATGTAGTTTTTGTGCATGTAGCTTTTTTTAAGCTGCTACTGGAAAACTCATCAAGCCAACCATAATCTCCTGAATGCCCTTAATGTTTCCGCTTTCTATACAGACTATGCTAATTACTCATATACCAATGGTTTCCACACTGGTGTACAGATCATGCTGGCTGCACCACATCACAAGAGTGATGGAAAAAATTTTTCCTTGTATGTCTTGAAAGTATTTGATATTAAAAGTTTGATGGCAAGGATGCATTGTGGTGCAGCAGAAATTCTGGGTGTTGACAGTGGTTAATTGGTCAAAAAAAGTTTGGAACCATTTTCTATACTAGTTATAACAGGCAATAAAAGCCTCTCTCTTGCTTGGGTCTCTTGCGCCTGACCCTTGGAAGTCTCTACTGCTTTCATGGCCTCAGCTGGTTCCTTGCAGCATGCAGAGGCAGGAGGACACAAAGTCCATTGACAATTTATTGCTCACTGGCACCCTAGAGGTCCAGGGATATGAAGAAATTACTCAGTTCTGTTCATTACCTCACCTCCTCAAAGTTACCTATAACCAGAGTAGCCATCAGCTAGTTCAACCTCATTCAAGAGGGATTATACCTATATCTACTGCGGTCATAATCAGTAAATCAGTGTTCACTCTCTTAGCTCCCTGTCACATACTCATATATTTCCATAAGTAAAATAAGAGCAAACACAGCAACAAAGGCAACACTGGGGGCTTGAATCACATTTCTATGACTTTTTTTATAAAACTGTAGGTGTGCAAAGGGGCATCAGAGTATAATGCAATGAGCCCTCACTTTAAGGTCATAGATTCATAGATGTTGGGGTCGGAAGGGACCTCAATAGATCCTTGAGTCTGACCCCCTGCATAGGCAGGAAAGAGTGCTGGGTTCAGATAACCCCAGCCAGGGGCCTATCTAACCTCCTCTTGAAGACCCCCAGGGTAGGGGAGAGCACCACCTCTCTTGGGAGCCCATTCCAGATTTTGGCCACTCTAATTGTGAAGATCTTCCTAATGTCCAGTTTAAAACTGCTAGCTTATGGCCATTATTTCTTGTGACCCCCGGGGCGCTCTAGTGAGTAGAGCCTCACCAATTCCCTTCTGCGCCCCCATGATGAATTTATAGGCAGCCACAAGGCCGCCTCTCAACCTTCTCTTGTGGAGGCTGAAGAGGTCCAGGTGCCCTAGTCTCTCCTCATAGAGCTTGGCCTGCAAGCCCTTAACCATACGAGTGGCCCTCCTCTGCACCCTCTCCAAGTTATCCACATCCCTCTTGAAGTGTGGCGCCCAAAACTGCACATGGTATTCCAACTGCAGTCTGACCAGTGCCTGATAGAGGGGAAGTATCACCTCCTTGGTTCTGTTTGTCATGCATCTGCTGATGCATGATAAAGTGCAGTTAGCTTTGC